TGTTACTGTAACTAAGATAGTGATCAAGTTTAATTTCCTACTTTTGCAGTAGACCATATTGAGATCATTAATGAATTTGTCATTTTTATTCTCAAACAAAGTTCAAAAATGTGATAAAAGTATATGGAGTAACAAAATATCCATAATTTTATATTTAACATTAGGTCACACAAATGATAACAGTTTTTAAAAGATATAGTTAAAGGATATTCTTTTCAAATTCATGCAAAATCAATAGATCAAATTCTTATGTAAAATTGAATGATCTTTTAACCTTAATAACAAGCACTCATTCTTGTATTCTTTAATTCAATATATATGTACAAAAAAATAAGTACATATTATATTCTTTAATCTAATATCTAATTCCAGAAATATTTAATAGTCCATACCCAACCACTATATATAATAGTCCATACCCAACCACACACAACTTTTAAACCCTAACTCTTACCAAAACCCTTGAACCAAACAATCCCCATCCGACGAAGATATGAATCCATCTTTTGAAGTTCTGATGAAGGATTCATACATAAAGCAAGATTATATGGTAAATGAGCTCTTTTTTCATTTAAAATTCTATTTTTTTTAAATGCTTGTGATTTTCGACTTGGTTTTTGAAGAGGGGCACATCTGGGTTTTGAAGAGGGGCACATCTGGTTTCAACCAAAAAAAATTGAGTTTCAACCAAATCCAGTTAGAAACAAACAGATCTGGTTGTAATAAAATATCAAACAAACTGTTTTTTTAATTTTTTTTTATTAATCTCTCAACCAACCAAGTATACATAAAAAAATTGAGTTTCAACCAAATCCAGTTTGAAACAAACAAATCTGGTTGTAAGCGGAGATGGTTCTTTTTTTCTCTCAAATCCAGTTTGAAACAAACAAATCTCTCAATTTTTTTTTCTTTTTGTTTGCAGCATATTCCAAAACATTTTTACGAACACCTTCCTGAATCACATAGCACAGCGGTTCTTCACTATGATGGCGAACCTTGGTTTATAGAAATTAACATGAGTAAGCGGAGATGGTTCAAAGACGATTGAAAATATTTTGTGATGAATAATAACATCAAGCGGGGTTGGTTAATTAACTTTGAGTTGGTCGAAATTACAGAATTCTGTGTTATCTTCCAATTGCACGTGACAGGCCGAGGAACTCTCCAAGATCCCGTTGAAATTAACTAGTTATGTTTTGTCTTCCCAGTTTGTGTTGTTTTTAACTTTTGTTAGCTTTTTTTATGTAATATGTACTTTTATTTTCCAATTTGGTTATTATGTAATGTGTATTTTGATTTCGGACTCTTTTGATTTTCCACTTATCAAATTGGTATATCACTTGGTATCATTTCATTGCCCTAACTACAAACCCTAACTATATAGTTGGAATGTGAATAGTTTTTAGTTCAAAAAAGGGTTGGCAACTGAAATAATAAATGCAAGTCAACTAACACCAAATTTCCCCTGAAATAAATACAATTCAACTAACATCATTAATTACGACAATTCAAACAAAACCAGATAGTGTGGCCAAAAATAGGTTATTTTTTTCACTGACAGAAAATCAGGATGTTTGATACTGGCTTGGCCCCTTTAAATATGGTCACATACTCAAACACTAAAGACCTAAAACACTCACAAACCCTAGTTTACTCTTCTACTAGCAGTGACGACATATCTTACTATTCTACTTCCAGTGATATTGAAGAAGAGATTTCTCCAACTTTTGAAGTGATTATGACTGATTCATGCACTTAAAATTCAACCTAATTCTACCTACATACTACTAAAACGGTTGGGAATAATAAATGCTTCATAGTAACTAAATGTGAGTATTTTAGTTCTTAGTTTAAACTGATTATAATGTTATGAAGTCTTTCACTTCTAATCACATTTTCTTAGTGTAGTCCGATAAAATGAAGTAACAATAAAATGAAGAAATATTTAACAATGATAATTATTATCTCACACTTTTAAATTATTACAAAACAACGTCAAAAAATTCAAAAAAATCTATATCAAATCAAATTAAATAAGATTCAAACTTAAATCATCTCAAACTAAACGGTCAAGTCTTCTATCTCTCAGTCTGCTTCATCGTTAAGATCAGGCAAGCTACTGTGTGCTTGTACTGTTGCATCATCTTGCTGTATAGAGTAAATAACACTAATAAGAAATGTATTTTTCGGAAAAAATATAATAATAATTTGTTATACTTTACCTCAATTCCTTCCGCTAGCCCAGTATTTCCACCACCTCTACCACGGCCTCTACCACCACCTCTACCACCACTTCTACCACCACCTCTGCCAACACCTCTGCCAACACCTCTACCACCACCTCTACCACCACCTCTACCCCTCATATTACCTCTAACTCCACTTCCACCAGCCGTTTGTGAACTTCTAAAGTATGAATCAATTCGCCCTCTATATCTATTCAACCTTGGACGTCCACGAGAAGCTACGTATCTAGGATCTCTTATATTTCTTCCTTCACCATCACCCTCACCCTCACCCTCACCCTCACCCTCACCTTCACCCCCACCCTCACCCACACCCTCACCCACACCATCATGTGTATCTTCAAATTCCCAATCTGGAATTATCATTTGATCATCATCCCAATTCAAAAGGTCATGCTCCAATCTGTTCAAATGATACTTAATATATCGCCTCATCACTTCAGTGTCCAATGCTATATCACAAACCCGTTCAAAATGCTTTAATAGTTCCCTGTACATCATGTATTCAGAAGTCATACGTGGGTAACCTCCAAGAAAGAAACGTTTCAAGTGCGGACGAACAACATCTTTTCTCCACCTTCTCAATATATACCTCTCATTAACGTTATTAATCCTCTTATGAGACAACACCTTAAGTATATGGCAGCATAGAATACCTCTTGTTTCAAACCACTTGTAGCTGCAACTTAGATATTCGCCAATAGGTGTATATTCAACCGCGAATACAAATGGATCTCTAGTGTTAAAACTCCTGAACGAATAATCTGAGATAATGTAACTTCTCCACCCCTGCTGTTGCTTGATGGTCTTCANGATCTTGGGGAGAACATATGGTGTAAAAGTGGAGTCGTTTGGTGGTGGCGCCGCCGTGGGCGGCGGAGGCGGCGTCACTGCTTTCGAATATTCGAGCAGATTGGCTAACATTCGAGGGAAAATATTTTGGGCATTGGAAAGTAGAGGGGGAGAGGAGTCGATGGTGAAAATTTGGGTGGGTTTGGAGCTTGACCGCCGCCGTGGGCGATTTCCGGCGGCGGTTTAGGGCGGCACCGGTGAGGGACAGGGAGGTACGAGGAAGGAGGGGTTGGTCTTTAGGGTTACTAAAGGATTTGGACACTTTTATTTAATGCCTGAGATTGAACTCAGGCCGTTGGATTATGGAAATGGATGACTGGGATTGGATTGAGTTTTAATAACTCAGAACGACGCCGTTTGGGCGTCTCTTGGACTGGACTGGGTGGGGAGACGGATTGGGCCAAATTGGTCTGGGCTGAAGCAAATTGGAGTGGGGTCGTTTGGACTGAAACCAAATTTGGCCCAATTCAACTAGCCTAATTCCCTTTTTATTAATTCATTTTGTTTTCTTTTTGTTGCTTTTGATTTTGTATTTTATTTTTATTTTATATTTTTGTATTTTTATCTTGCATTTTTCTGATTTTATAAAATGTAAAAAATTAAAACCAATAGTTAAAATAATTCGAGATTACACTATTCAAATCCTAAAATTACTTAAAATTCCACTTAAAAGATAAATGCAACAGTTAACGATTAAAAGTGCAAAGAAACTATTTTTTTGATTTTCTTTAATTTTTATTCTAAACAAATCCATACCTAATGAATACTAAAAATGTGAAATTAAATTCCTAATGCAAAATGCATATTTTTGTATTTTTAATATGAATTATCATGCAACCAATTAACACCAAATTCAATAAAAATTCACAAAAATCGTAAAATAATAAAGAAATCAATTATTTGAAACTTTTGGAATAAATTGCTTAGGGCAAAAATCACGTGCTCACAGCCGATACGTATGACCTCAATATAAACGGCTATTATATAAACGGTCGACATTACTACGAACCACAACGATATAATTACCTTACTACAACCATATTAGTGTAATGACTTATATGGTTGCTATAGTCCGATATGTATGACCTTAATATAAACGGCTATTATATAAACGGTCGACATTACTATGAACCACAACGATATAATTACCTTACTACAACCATATTAGTGTAATGACTTATATGGTTGCTATAGGCCGATACGTATGCCCTTAATATAAACGGCTATTATATAAACGGTCGATATTACTACGAACTACAACGATATAATTACCTTACTACAACCATATTAGTGTAAGGACTTATATGGTTGCTATAGGCCGATATGTATGACCTTAATATAAACGGCTATTATATAAACGGTCGACATTACTACGAACTACAACGATATAATTACCTTACTACAATCATATTAGTGTAATGACTTATATGGAAAAAATGTAAATAATGGATTAACCTTTTTTTTTCAAAATATAAATAAAGTAGATAAAAAATGTAACTACTGGTTTAACCTTTTTTTTTTTTAAAAAAAAAATTATTGGCTTGATTGGAAAAATTAAGAATACACCCTACTAAAGGTAGAGATTCGATCTCGAGACGCCTACCTCATTCATACGCTTACTTAACCAACGAACCGATTATAACTTTGATGCGTTTTAGACGTTCATTTATATACATTGAAATTCTAAATGAGGGCTGTATACATATCTACCTTGGGATTGTTTAATCGATACCCCCAAAATTTCTCTTTTGGAGTTGATCCGCCCATGGTCTTTTGGCGCTCCATCTTCAAAATTTCAACAGGTTTCTTGCTTCTTCCTCTTCTTCTTTTTCCGTAATCGTAATCTTAACTTTCGTTTATCCTACTCTTCATCGTTTTGCCTATAATCATAAGCCTAATATGATGGCTCCAGTCGGAAGAAAAAATTGCATTAGAACTTTACCTTTGGATATACTAGGCAACCTTCCTGATGATGTTATTGATCATATTCTTATACGGATGCCTTTACAAGATGCTGTTAGAACAAGCATCTTATCAAGGAAATGGAGATATACTTGGTGTAGAATTCCACAACTAACTCTTGATCGAACCCTTTGGAAAATGCACCAACCTGCTTACTTTGAGACTATAATCCGCCATATTTTGAACCATCATCGAGGACCTGTTAAACACTTTACCCTCTTAATTCCGTATTCGGAGCAATTTTCTTATTTTATACAGTTGTTAGGGTTTCTCATTGAAAATGGTATTGAACATCTCAATATTAAATTTTCGTATAGGACGACACCATACAAATTGCCTGCTTTATTTTTCAAATGTGTGCTTTTGAGGCACCTATCTCTTGAAGATTGTTCAATAAACCATCCGACAGCCTACCCAGGATTTGATAGGTTACTTTGCCTTAAGCTATACATTGTTACAATCAAGTACACATTATTTGGAACCTTAATCTCTCAGTGCCCGTTGCTCGAGCAATTGGTGCTTCTGCTCTTAGATAATCAGTCTGGTGTCATTTTTATTGATGCCCCCAAATTGAAGTCCCTTGACTTCACAGGCAGAGTATGGGCTATCAGTTTAAGAAATGTTCCTCTTCTGGCACAAGTATCGTTTGCTTTTAGGGGAGGCTTAGTCCTGGAAGCAATACCTGACTATACTAGAGTTCTTGAGTCTTTATCTGCGGTGGAGCATCTCCATTTGGATAACCATAGCCTCAAGGTAAATGTGCTTCATAACTTCAGTCTAGTGCTTTTTCATAGATGGATTATATTTTGGTCTATGTGCCATCATTTTTATTTGGGATGTTCTTTCTAGTTAATGGCTGCAGGTGCAGGAGATGTACCGACTAATCTCCCCTTTCTTGTTGGCTGTGTCAAAAATCTTTACCTTTCTGGTCTTTATCTCGGTGAATTGTATTACGTTTCCTGTGCTTTGTCTTTGATGAAAAGCTTCCCATGTTTAGAACATATGGAAATCAAGGTTACTCTATTACTTAATCATTTGGTTATATTCTTATTCTCATTCCATAGTGACTTCTTAGGTGCTGAAATCATTTGGTGTTTTTTTTAAAATTATTTCGTAGGTGGAATCTTGTTGTGTACCTATGGCACGTGATAACATTGATTTGGAAGCAAGTTTTGTAGAAACAACATTCATCAACCTCAGAAAAATTGTGATTAGGAGGCTTCGAGGGATAAGTCCTCACATGCAACTGTTGAAACTTCTTGTGGCAAAGTCTCCGGCTCTTGCGAAAATCACAATCGAGGTGTTGACGAATGTAGATTATAAAGTTCTCAGATCAGCAATTGAGAATTTTGAATTTAGGTGTACATCACCTGTTGCTGAATTTGTATTGAAATATTAGTATAATTGTGGTTTTTTAAACAATTCTGGAAAATTGCATTTTTGGACAAATTCTGGTACATGGCATGGTTTGATTGCGTGTTTTGACAATCCTGCTATGCCATGTTTTGACAATTATGTTACATGGCGTGTTTTGACAATCATGCTATGCCATGTTTAATACAATTATGTTTGTTGGCTAGTTTTAATTTTCTTATGTTTCGTGATGTGAATCTTTCATAATGCCATGTGTGTTTGTTAACATGACTGCTTAATGCTTCAGCTTGAAGTCACTAAGCATGGTATTGTTAAAATGTCATTAATGCTTAAGCTTGAAGCTTAAAACGGAAATATCTATGTGCTCTAATTGTGCTTCTGAAGATGAGTTGATCCTTGGCCTAGTAAGAAGATGAGGTTTTACTAGAATCCTCTACTAGATCCTTGGCCTAGTAAGAAATGCATGATGCATTTGTTACTGTAACTAAGATAGTGATCAAGTTTAATTTCCTACTTTTGCAGTAGACCATGTTGAGATCATTAATGAATTTGTCATTTTTATTCTCAAACAAAGTTCAAAAATGTGATAAAAGTATATGGAGTAACAAAATATCCATAATTTTATATTTAACATTAGGCACACAAATGATAACAGTTTTTAAAAGATATAGTTAAAGGATATTCTTTTCAAATTCATGCAAAATCAATAGATCAAATTCTTATGTAAAATTGAATGATCTTTTAACCTTAATAACAAGCACTCATTCTTGTATTCTTTAATTTAATATTTATGTACAAAAAATAAGTACATATTATATTCTTTAATTCAATATCTAATTCTAGAAATATTTAATAGTCCATTCCCAACCACACACAACTTTTAAACCCTAACTCTTACCAAAACCCTTGAACCAAACAATCCCCATCCGACGAAGATATGAATCCATCTTTTGAAGTTCATACATAACGCAAGATTATATGGTAAATGAGCTCTTTTTTTCATTTAAAATTCTATTTTTTTTAATGCTTGTGATTTCGACTTGGTTTTTGAAGAGGGGCACATATGGGTTTTGAAGAGGGGCACATCTGGTTTCAACCAAAAAAAATTGAGTTTCAACCAAATCCAGTTTGAAACAAACAGATCTGGTTGTAATAAAATATCAAACAAACTGTTTCTTTAATTTTTTTTAATTAATCTCTCAACCAACCAAGTATACATTAAAAAAATTGAGTTTCAACCAAATCCAGTTTGAAACAAACAGATCTGGTTGTAAGCGGAGATGGTTCTTTTTTTTTCTCTCAAATCCAGTTTGAAATAAACAAATCTCTCAATTTTTTTTCTTTTTGTTTGCAGCATATTCCAAAATATTTTTACGAATACCTTCCTGAATCACATAGCACAGCGGTTCTTCACTATGATGGCGAGCCTTGGTTTATGGAAATTAACATAGGTAGCGGAGATGGTCCAAAGACGGTTGGAAATATTTTGTGATGAATAATTACATCAAGCGAGGTTGGTTAATTAACTTTGAGTTGGTCGAAATTATAGAATTCTGTGTTATCTTCCAATTGCACGTGACATGCCGAGGAACTCTCCAAGATCCCGTTGAAATTAACTAGTTATGTTTAATCTTCCCAGTTTGTGTTGTTTTTAACTTTTCTTAGCCTTTTTTTTATGTAATATGTACTTTTATTTTCCAGTTTGGTTATTATGTAATGTGTATTTTGATTTCGGACTCTTTTGATTTTCCAGTTATCAAATTGGTATATCACTTGGTATCATTTCATTGCCCTAACTACAAACCCTAACTATATAGTTGGAATGTGAATAGTTTTTAGTTCAAAAAAGGGTTGGTAACCGAAATAATAAATGCAAGTCAACTAACACCAAATTTTCCCTGAAATAAATGCAATTCAACTAACATCATTAATTACGACAATTCAAACAAAACCAGATAGTGTGGCCAAAAATAGGTTGTTTTTTTCACTGACAGAAAATCAGGATGTTTGATACTGGCTTGGCCCCTATAAATATGGTCACATACTCAAACACTAAAGACCTAAAACACTCACAAACCCTAGTTTACTCTTCTACTAGCAGTGACGACATATCTTACTCTTCTACTTCCAGTGATATTGAAGAAGAGATTCCTCCAACTTTTGAAGTGATTATGACTGATTCATGCACTTAAAATTCAACCTAATTCTACCTACACACTACTAAAACGGTTGGGAATAATAAATGCTTCATAGTAACTAAATGTGAGTATTTTAGTTCTTAGTTTGAACTGATTATAATGTTATGAAGTCTTTCACTTCTAATCACATTTTCTTAGTGTAGTCCGATAAAATGAAGTAAGAATAAAATGAAGAAATATTTAACAATGATAATTATTATCTCACACGTTTAAATTATTACAAAACAACGTCAAAAAATTAAAAAAAATCTATATCAAATCAAATTAAATAAGATTCAAACTTAAATCATCTCAAACTAAACGGTCAAGTCTTCTATCTCCCAGTCTGCTTCATCGTTAAGATCAGACAAGCTACTGTGTGCTTGTACTGTTGCATCATCTTGCTGTATAGAGTAAATAACACTAATAAGCAATGTATTTTTCGGAAAAAATATAATAATAATTTGTTATACTTTACCTCAATTCCTTCCGCTAGCCCAGTATTTTCACCACCTCTACCACGACCTCTACCACGGCCTCTACCACCACCTCTACCACCACTTCCACCACCACCTCTGCCAAAACCTCTGCCAACACCTCTACCACCACGTCTACCACCACCTCTACCCCTCCTATTACCTTTAACTCCACTTCCACCAGCCGTTTGTGAACTTCTAAAGTATGAATCAATTCGCCCTCTATATCTATTCAACTTTGGACGTCCACGAGAAGCTACGTATCTAGGATCTATTATATTTCTTCCTTCACCATCACCCTCACCCTCACCCTCACCCCTACCCTCACCCACACCCTCACCCACACCATCATGTGTATCTTCAAATTCCCAATCTGGAATTATCATTTGATCATCATCCCAATTCAAAAGGTCATGCTCCAATCTGTTCAAATGATACTTAATATATCGCCTCATCACTTTAGTGTCCAATGCTATATCACAAACCCGTTCAAAATGCTTTAATAGTTCCCTGTACATCATGTATTCAGAAGTCATACATGGGTAACCTCCAAGAAAGAAACGTTTCAAGTGCGGACGAACAACATCTTTTCTCCACCTTCTCAATATATACCTCTCATTAACGTTATTAATCCTCTTATGAGACAACACCTTAAGTATATGGCAGCATAGAATACCTCTTGTTTCAAACCACTTGCAGCTGCAACTTAGATATTCGCCAATAGGTGTATATTCAACCGCGAATACAAATGGATCTCTAGTGTTAAAACTCCTGAACGAATAATCTGAGATAATGTAATTCTCCACCCCTGCTGTTGCTTGATGGTCTTCAGGGGAGCTGATTTCACAGTGGTACAGTTTCCTTAACTATACTTGAAAAAATTCAAACACTTCACGAGTATAACATGTTTGAAATTTTTCCTTCCATGCAAATTCAGATAAACATTTTGGTTCAAAGCACCTTGACCTATATTCAGCTTCCAATTCTTTCTCGAACTTAGCTCTTATGCTAACTCATACTGCTGAACAAATAGCTTCAAAGTGCTTTGCCGGTTGATGAATCCGTCAAAGAAAGCATGCATTCCTTCACTTTTTTGTGTGGACAACATCCCAGCCCAAAAGTGGTCATTTAGGTATACCGGAACCCATTTCTCCTTCTCCAAATAAAGCTTATAAAACCAATCCCTTTCCTCTAAGTTATATTTGTCAATAAAATCATTCCATCGTCTCTCAAACTCAACAACGTTAATGCTATCAAGGACTAAAGCCTTAAATTATACCTTTGCAATCTTACCATCAAGAACTCCGCTTAACTTCGTAGGCAACTTTGCGAATATGTGCCATATACAATATCTATGTATTGTATTTGGCATCATAGCACTGATGGCAGCCTTTATACTATCACATTGGTCACTCATGATAGCTAATGGATGAACATTGTTTAGAGCCCCAAGCCATGTAGATAGCACCATTTTGTAACTTGTTATATCCTCACTAGACATAAGAGCACATCCCAAAAGTATGGACTGCCTATGCTGATTGACACCAACAAATGAAGCAAATGGCATATTGTATCGATTCACAAGGTATGTGGTATCAAGGCATATTACATCATGGAACTCCTCATATGCAACCTTAGAATGTGAATGAACCCATACGACATCACGAAGTCGACCAAAACTATCCACATCTACGGAGTAGTAAAATTCCCTATCTTTTTGCTGCATGTCACTGAAGAACTTGAGTAATGATTGTGCATCCCCTTCTTGCAACTGAAGCTTTCTACTCTTCAAGATATAATTTCTACAGTCCTTTGGTGTACAACCCAGATTTTCGGGGCCACCAGCAAGTACTTCAGCGACTCTTATATTTTTTGAGGGTCTTAAGCCAGCAATATCTTTGGCTGCAAGAGTTCTCTTAAGAGACTTGTTAAGCGATCTGTGTCCAGCCATCAATCGCGATAGTGCTGGTTCCAATTGATGATTATGTTTTTTTTACCACCTTTGAAACACGCCATGAACCATTCTCCTCCAAAATTCCATTTATTCTAGCACGGCAGTTCTTCCTCTTGGTAACATGCTTATTCCTTGGTTTCCTAGACCTATCACAACCATATTGCACATACCTAACAATATCACCACCTTTTTTGTTGGACGTTCTTTTGACAATGCAAAACCCCGATAATCTTGCATGTTCTTTGTAAAAATCAAACAGAACATCCTTACTACTGAACCGCATCCCAGTAATTGGACCAATTATAAGATCTTCTTCATTGAACTCATTAGGCATTTCCTTGTCCTCTCCAACTTCTCCCTCTTCCTCTAAATAATGGCCGTCGTAATCATCATCATCATCATCAGCAGCAGCAGCAGCAGCAGCAACATTGTCAACAGGTTTTCTCCATCATTGAAGTTGCTGTCTGAATCAATGTCGATCGATTCATCTTCATTCATCAAACTGTCGTCCGAATTCAACCCTAATGATATGTGTAATGCATTCCTTAGTTGATCCGACCTAGTTTCTAAACTGTTATTCGGGTTTAATGGGTCCAAACTAGTTTCTCGGTTAGTATTCATGTTTAGGTTAAGGGAAGTGTGGTGAATTATGTGTTTAATGAAAGCTATCTTAACATAAGTATATGGTATGATATATACATAATAGACCTTTGATCTTCCCATCCGTATAAATTGCATTTAATTAAAAAAAAAATACTTAATTGTGTTTAACAAAAATACGTAATTATATTTTTATAAAAACGTAATTGAGCGTATATACGAAGGCTGCCATCCGTATATACGAAGGCTTTTTATCTTCCCATGCTGAGAGAATGATGATTTATGGGATTAATGTTTTGGAATAATCAAAAGTTATTAACTAATTTTGGAGGGAAAAAAGGGCCATTAAGCCAAACGAAAAAACAAGGGCATTACTGGCATTTCACGGGTGTGGTCATTTTTGGGCCACGCTGAGTTTGGCCGAATAGCAGCACTCTTTTAGGTTATCTAATTTATTCATTTATATTAAGATTACATATTAAGATTACGACGCCTGAATCTCAAGACATCTTTCAATATTAAGATGTGCTATTAAGATCTAAATAATGATGGTAGTTGCAAGTGATGGTTAACAATGATGCTTGATAGTGCTAGTGTGACACCCTAGGCGAATCTCACGGAAGACATGCTGAGTATATAAGTAGTAAGACCTTAGACCCTAGTGACGAGTTTTAAAGCCGTGCGGACTTAGGCTCAAAACAGATAATATCACTAGTGGGCTGGACATATGGTATCAGAGTCACTCCGCGTGCAACCGTGAATGGTGGTGGGGCAAACTTCTAGGCAGGTACATATGGTATCAGAGTCACTCCGCGTGCATATAAGTAGACATGCCTTACACCATAATGACACGTTTTAAAACCGTACGGGCCTAGGCCCAAAACGGATAATATCACTAGTGGGCTGGCTGTTACACATTTGGCGGTGATGGTTGATGATTGTGGTGGAGAATAGTGATAGCTAATGGAATTCTTTTGTTTATATCCTCTTTTCATTATCTTTATGCCTTCTAATATTTTATGAAGATACTAACTCAATTGCTTGTATTCCAAACAGATGCTTGGTTTAGGCTTGGGCTCTGACTATCCTAATTCTGATCAATACACAGTGGTGATGGTTCAAGTTATAGGTAAACAAAAAGGGTATGAGTTCAACATGTTTTCATCAGAGGACTCGGCAAGTTTTGAATATTTCTTCAGTAAACCTGCTTACTTGCATCATACTTTGTATTGGCTAATGGCTGATGGTTGTGTTCTCGCCTTTGATACAAAGAAGAAAAGTGCTA